AGAAGGAAGAGAAACACATTTTCCCAAGTGGCTCAGATAGAGAAAGCCTCAAATAGCATCCTGTCTCAACCTCTGTTTCATGTAATGCCAACATAAAAGTTCATTTTTAATTTAATGTATTACTAAGTTTTACTAAAGCTTTTATTTAAGCTTCTAATGTACTCTTCCAAGAGTATCAACATATGTTTTTAATTACCAGTGACAAAATTTCTTTGACTCACTAAATACATGGAGTATGCTTAAAGGTGTTTTTGGGGGGAAGGGTGACTTAAAATCATCTTTACTATCCATTACTGCGCCAATCTGTAATTAAAACCATGAATGAAGCCAGGTGCCAGTGGCTGATGCCTGTAATCCTAGCTACTCAGGAGGCTGAGATCTGAGGATCATGCTTCAAAGCGAGACAGGGCAGATAAATCCAAGAGACTCTTATCTCCAATTAACTAGCAAAAAAAGGTTGAGGTATGGCTTGAGTGGTAGAGCACCAGCCTTGAACAAAAAAGTCAAGCAAGCCGGGCACTGGTGGTTCACACCTGTAATCCTAGCTACTCAGGAGGCTGAGATCTGAGGATCATGGTTCAAAGCCAGCCCAGGCAGGAAAGTCTATGAGACTCTTACCTCCAGTTAACCACCAGAAAACCGGAAGTGGTACTATGGCTCAAAAGGTAGAGCTCTAGCCTTGAGCTGAAGAGCTGAGGGACAGCGCCAGGCCCAAAGTTCAAGCCCCACGACTGACCAAAAAAAGAAAAGAAAGAAAGAAAAGAAAAAAGAAAGAAAAGTCCATGAGACTCTAATCTGCAATTAACCACCAAACATCTGGAAGTGGAGCTGTGGCTCAAGTAGTAGAGCAAAAAAGCTCAGAGATAGAATCCAGGCCATGACTTCAAGTCCTAGGACCAGCACAAAAATAAGAAAAGAACTGTGCTTTTTGTTTTTTGATTTCTAGTAGTTTCTGCAGAGCCACAGCACTGAGGCTATGAGAGGCTTATGTTTCCTGGAGTCCTGGGTAAGTGGTGTGCAAACCATTGGACATGCACATACTCTTTGATGTACAAGACCCACTCACTGGGGAAAGACATTAGCAAATTGTTATTTTGATTCTTGCATAGCATCAAATACAGGAGATACTAACTTCTTCAGATAATCAGGCAATCCTAGCCCCATGGCAGGCCTGTTAGAGAATAGCAGCCCATGCAGGTCTGCACATGGAACAGGTCAAGGAGACTTAGACACGTTGGCCCTCAAGATACAGAGTGACAATCATGTTCCCATGTGTAACTATCCAAAGACACCAGGTGTGGCCAATGCAAATGGCCCAGACTGTAAAGCACACAAAGCCACACCTGAGACAGTTATGAAGGGACCTGGCAGGGAATCAGAGTTACACAGACACAGAGATTAAGAAAAGAATGAAATCCATGCAGAGGAAATCACAGCCATTCACTGGGAAAGATAAATATGCCTCCATGATCCCAATCTCCATGGCTTAAAAACCATGCTCCATTTGTTTAAGACCAGAGTCCTGTTATATCACCCAGACTGACTGGAACACACAATTTCCCACCTCAACCTCTTGAATAACTGGGATTGCAGGTGAGTGCTACCATGCTACCAAAAGTCTCACTGACTTTTAACAATAACCACGCAAGTCCAGAGAAGGCTGAATAGTGACACTTTTACAACAATGAATATTTTCAGAGGCATTCTGTGACTTTCACTCAGGATATTACAATGTGAAGATAATCTCATTTCTATTTCAGTGATTGCCTGAATCCCCACTATGGCAAAGTACAAATGTGTGGAAACAAATCCACTGCATCTCAGCAGGAAAAATAAAACTGCTCAGAAATTTTCTGTTTGAACAAACCGTTCCACCAAAAAAAATGCTCTTGCCAAACTTTTGACCTATTCTTGCTAAACTTCCCAGTTCTTGGCAGGGATCAGTAATAAAGTTAAAAAGTGAAGTTTCATCTAGAAATCATAGTTCTCCTTCAAACTAACCTTCTAAGTTGGAGCTCATTTTTCTCTACAAATTGTAAGGGACTGTTGTTTTTTTTCTATATGAAAACAATCACAGGTACCATGTTTTCTTTCCCTGAAGATTTCCCATAACCTATTTATACAGCTGGATGTTTTCCAAGCCCCAAACATAAATTTATTAGCAAAAGTGGCTGTGCTGTTTTGTGGTGACTGACAATTTGGGTTGGGTTTTTCTGTTATCCCCAGGGAAAAATCAATCGCCCAGCAAATTAATGAGGATTTTCATCCTCAGAGACCTACAATCAAAACTTATTCTGGTCTTGATCGGTCTATTTCTGGCTCTGAGTGGCTGTTAATGCTCAAAAGCAGGTCTGTGGGTTGAAATACCAGGCTTAGCACCCAGGGACAGCAGGTTCTGATTCTTTTCAGCCTTTTACTGACTCAGTGGGAAGCTCTGAGCAAGTCCATACTATATTATCTTAGTCTTTCCTACCAGAAAAGATGATTTCCAACTCAATCAAAAGGAACACATGCCAGGCACTGGTGGATCACGCCTGTAATCCTAAGTACCAGGAGGCTGAGATCTGAGGATCATGGTTCAAAGAACAAATTACACAGGATTCTAGATACTCACACACAGGGAGACCCAAAGAGGATACTCTTAGGAGAGAATCACAAAGGTGCAATGACTAAGTGCCTCTTCATATTTATATAAAATAATACACATACTGAAACAAACTGCAAAGATATGGAAACAAAAGACTTTGGGTTTAGCGGGGGGGGGGGGGGGGGGGGGGGGGGGGGGGGGAGGGGGGGGGGCGTCTGGGAAGGTGGCTCAGTGGTAGAGTGCTTGCCTTGCATGCATGAGGCCCTGGGTTTGATTCCTCAGTATCACATAAGCAGAAAAAGCCAAAAGTGGGGCTGGGAAGGTGGCTCAGTGGTAGAGCGCTTGCCTTGCATGCCTGAGGCCCTGGGTTCGATTCCTCAGCCCCACATAAGCAAAAAGAAAAAAGCCGGAAGTGGCGCTGTGGCTCAGGTGGTAGAGCGCTAGCCTTGAGCTGAAGAGCTGAGGGACAGTGCCCAGGCCCAGAGTTCAGGCCCCACGACTGGACCCAAAAAAAAAAAAAAAAAAAAAAAGCCAAAAGTGGCACTGAGGCTCAAGTGGTAGGATGCTAGCCTTGAGCTGAGGGGCAGAGCTCAGGCCCAGAGTTCAGGCTCACAACCGACAAAAAAAGAAAATACTTTTTTTAATTCATGTTTTTCTTTCTCTAATGATCTGTATTCTTGACCTTATAGCTGATATAGTCACGTGCCTATCTGTGGTAGGGTGCAGGGGGCACAGACTTAGAGGAAAAGGGGTGAAAAGAGCAGCAATGGAGCACACTAGACATGGATGAAAGTGAACTATACAACTCATGGGTGGAGATGGGAAGGAGGGAATGGAAGAGAGTGAGGGAGCAGATGACACTGCAGGAAAGGAAATGTGCTCATTACCTGATGCGTGTTAACGTAACCCTCTGTATATCACCTCAATAACAATAAAGTAAACCTTAAAAAAAAAAAGCCAGCCTAGGCAGGGAAGTCCGTGAGAATCTTTTTTTTTTTTTTTTTGGGGGGGGGTCTAGTCGTGGGCCTGAACTCTGGATCTGGGCGCTGCCCCTCAGCTCTTCAGCTCAAGGCTAGCGCTCTATCACTTGAGCCACAGCACCATTTCTGGCTTTTTGCTTTTTTGCTTATGTGGTGCTAAGGAATCGAACCCAGGGCCTCAAGCATGCAAGGCAAGTGCTCTACCACTGAGCCACCTTCCCAGCCCTACGTGAGAATCTTATCTCCCATTAGCCACCAGAAAATCAAAAGTAGTGCTGTGGCTCAAAGTGGTAGAGTACTGACCTTGAACAAAAGAGCACAGGGACAGCACCAAGGCCCCAAGTTCAAACCTCATGACCAACCAAAAAAGAAAACACTATTATGGAGTTTTTGTTGTTGTTTCTGTTTGGTCACAGGTCTTCAACTGTAGCCCTGGGTGCTGTCCCTCAGCTCTTCAGTTCAAGGCTAGCACTCTACCGGGACACTACTTTTTGCCCAGGCTGGCCTGGAACCATGATCTTCCTATCTCCACCTTCCCAGGAGGGGGTAGTGCACTATCAAACCTGTCCTACAATCAAGTAAGTTTTAAGCAAGCAACTCTATCCATCCATAGCCAGCAAATCCACACTTGAATCTATATGAAACAGAGCCCTGCCTCCCAGTGCACTTAGGAACTTTGAGAAGAGCATGCTGCAGCTGAAATGATAATGGGATGTACTTCCTAAGGCTCTGAAGGCAGTATACTCTGTGCATTGTGGAACCCTCATGATCAGGAACCTCTAAGGGCTTGAAGGATCTCACAGGGCCTTCAGGGCCTTTGCCACCAAAAAGACTTGCCATGTAACCAGCTCTTGTTCTACCTTAAATCCCAAAGCCTAGCCAGTCAGATTTCCACAATGAGAAAATGTAGACAATCCAGACACAATGAGTGAATCCCCTTAGGAAATCCTATTGGAGAGAAGGAGGCAGGAGTACTCAACAAGACATTACAGGCTCACACCTGTAACCCTAACTACTCAGGAGGCTGAGATCTGAGGATCACAGTTCAAATGCCAACCCAAGCAGGAAAATCCATGAGACTGATCTCCAATTAACTACCAAAATCCCAGAAGTAGAGCTGTGGCTCAAACGGTAGAGCACTAGCCCTGAGCATAAAAGCTCAGGGAGAGCTCTGAATTCAAGACCCAGGACTGACACGTGCACATACAGACACATACACACACACAGACACAGACACACACACACACACACACACACACCAACATGGATAATCTTTGTTGGATAAACAAAGAACAAATGCTTATATACTAGTCTGTCTGGGGCTTAAAGATGTGCATCCTACCAAGAGAAGAAGAAAACAATTTGACATCTCAAAGTGGCTTCTCTTGATGAGAGTGTCTGAGTTCACTCTTCTTGCTTTTTCTCTCCTGCAGTGTCAGTCCTCAGGAGTGCTGATTCTTTACCATCTCGGTGAACAATGTCCCCATCTGTGAATCCACAGAAGCAAGGAGATGGCCCGAGTACATCCTTTCCACCCTAAACTCAACTCTCCTTTGGAAGAAGGAAGTGACAAGGTTGGAAGAGAACCCTGAAATGTAGTCTTTATCAATGTGACCTTTAAATGGACCTCTATAACTCTGAAGGGCATTGCAAATCATCTTTACACTACAGGAAGGCAGAAAGGTTTGCTCTGTGAACCTGTTCTCTGGTTTGGGGGTAGTTTTGTTTGTTTGATTTTTGTGGGTTTCCTCGGGGAATTTGCTGGGTATCAAACTCAGGTCCAAGCATGCCAGGCAACTGTTCTACCACTCAGTTTCACCCCAACCCTTGTCTTTTTTTGTATCTACATCATACCCTATATTACTACTAGACCTGAGGCTCATAACTAAATAAGATTCTTTAATAGTGACACTAGAAAGGGTCATTTTTATCTACATGCCCATGAAAAGAATAAATACAAGTTTGCACAATTTTGTAAGAACTCAAACAGCTAACAAGATTTCCTTAAACATTTTGTTCCCTTAATTTTTATCATTGAAGCCAGTTATATGGCAAGAAATCCAAGGAAAAGAAGAATTTCAAAACTGCTGAGGTTAATCCTAAGAAAACATAAGAAAATAAAATAAAATGGGCTGAGAAGGTGGCTCAGTGGTAGAGCGCTTGCCTTGCATGTATGAGGCCCTGTGCTGGATTCCTCAGCACCACATAAGCAAAAAGAAAAAAAGCTGGAAGTGGCGCTGTGGCTCAAGTGGTAGAGCGCTAGCCTCGAGCTGAAGAGCTGAGGGACAGTGCCCAGGCCCAGAGTTCAGGCCCCACGACCGGATCCCCTCCCCCCCCCAAAAAAAAAGAAAAGAAAAAAAGCAGGCCAGCCGCTGGTAGCTCACACCTACCTAACCACTCAGGAGGCTAAGATCTGAGGATCGAGGTTTAAAGCCAACCAGGGCAGGAAAGTCCATAAGACTCTTTATTTTTGGCAGTCGTGGGGTTTGAACTCTAAGCCTGAGTGCTGTCCCTCAGCTCTTCACCTCAAGGCTAACACTTTACCACTTGAGCCACAGTGCCACTTCCAGTTTTCTGGTGGTTTATTGGAGATTAGAGTCTCACGGACTTACCTGCCCTGGTTGGCTTTGAATCTCAATCCTCAGATCTCAGCCTCCTGAGTAGCTAGGATTACCACCAGTGCCCAGCCCCATGAGACTCTTCTCTCCAATAAACTACTTTGAAAAGGCCAAAAGTAGTGCTATGGCTCAAGTGGTAGAATGCTAGCCTTGATCAGAAGCAGCTCAGGGACAGTGCCCAGGTTCTGAGTTAAAGACCCAGAACTATTAAAAAAAATATTTTTTTTTTAAAAGGAGCTTGTTTTAAAACTGCTTCTATACTATAGGGGCTAGGAAGGTGGCTCAGTGGTAGTGTGCTTGCCTTGAATGCATGAAGCCCTGGGTTCGATTCCTCAGCACCACAAAAGCAGAAAAAGCCGGAAGTGGTACAGTGGCAGCCTTGAGCTGAATGACTGAGGGACAGCACCCAGGCTCAGAGGGAGGGAGGGAGAGGGAGGGAGGGAGGGAGGGAGGGAGAGGGAGAGGGAGAGAGGAGGGGAGAGGAGGGAGGGGAGAGGGGGGAGAGAGAGAGAGAAAGAGAATGAGCGCATGCGCTTCTATATTGATAAGTCAACAAAATTTTTGTTTTCCCTTTGAGATTACTTAGAAAATCCCCTAGGATTTTTGTTGTTTCTTTAAAAAGAAGTTACAGCAAATAAGCTCAAAATGTTTCTTGTTTCTAAAAATAAACACTTTTTTGTTGTACTGAGAGTGTTCATTTGGAGCCTTCTGCTTGGTAGGCAGGTACTCTCCCACTTGAGACACACACCCCCAGCCCTTTGTGTTCTTATTTCGGGCTTCCCTCATAGCTGGGGTACTAAGTATATACCACCAAGACCAGCTTTCATTGGTTGGGATGGGACTTCACTAACTTTTTTCTCCAGCTGGCTTCAAACCAAAATCATTCTGATTTTTAGCTACAGCATTTTCTTTGAAAAAAAAAATCTCAATTCTAAAGTTGAAACCACTTAGGAAATGAGTTAGACGGCAATCTTTTCTTTCTTTTGTTTTTTTTCCTTTCGTGTGTGTGTGTGTGTGTGTGTGTGTGTGTGTGTGTGTGTGTGTGTGTGTGTGTGTGTGTGTGTGTGTGTGTGTGTACGCGTGTGTTCCCAGAGGTTGAACTCAGGACTAAGCACTGTCCATGAGCTTTTTTGGTCAAGGCTAAGGCTCTACCGCTTGCATCTTGATCCTCAGATCTCAGCCTCCTGAATAGCTAAAAGGCTACAGGCATAAGCCATGGTGCAATCTTTTTTTCTTTTTGTCAGTTGTGGGGCTTGAACTCTGGGCCTAAGCACTGTCCCTGAGCTCTTCAGCTCAAGGCTAGCGCTCTACTACTTGAACCACAAAGCACTTCCAGTTTTCCAGTGGTTAACTGGAGTCTCAAGGTCGTTTCTGCCTGGGCTGGCTTTGAAACCAGATCCTCAGACCTCAGCCTCCTGAGTAGCTAGGATTACAGGTGTGAGCCATCAGTGCCTAGCCTAAAGGTATTTTTTGAAACATGTATGTCCTCCTATACAATTATAAAAAGGTTTTTAAAATTTTAAATGGAAACCCAAATGTCAATGGCTCACACCTGTAAGTAGCTAGAATTCTAGCTACTCAGGCTAAGATCTGAGGATTGCAGTTCACAGCCAGTCCAGTTCAAAGGCATGCAGAAAATCCATGAGCTCCCTTTTTTCCAATTAACCACCCAAAATGCCAAAAGTGGAGCTGTAGCACAAGCGGTAGAGTGCCAGCCTTTAGCACAATAGATCAGGGACACCAGCTAGGCCCTGAGTTCAAGCCCACGAATGGTGCAAAAAAAAAAAATTAAAATGAACAAAATGAGCCAGGCGCCAGTGGCTCATGCCTATAATCCTAGCTACTCAGGACTGAGATCTGAGGATCACCATTCAAAGCCAGCCCAGGTAGGAAAGTCTGTAAGACTTTCAATTAACCATGAGAAAAGACTCCAATTAACCAGGAGAAAACTGGAAGTAGTGCTGTGGCTCAAGTGATAGAGTGCTAGCTTTGAGCTGAAGAGCTCAGGGACACTGCCCAGATTTCAAGCCCCACAACCGACCAAAAAATAAAAATAAAAAATAAAAAAAAAAGAGCTGGCATCAGTGGCTCACGTCTGTAATCCTAAATACACAGGAGACTGAGATCTGCGATCTGCAGATAGCAGTTCAAAACCAGCCCAGGCAGAAAAGTCCCTGAGACTCTTTTCTTCAATTAACCAGCAAAAAAAAAAAAAAAGCTAGACATGGAGTTGTGGCTTATGATAGAGCATCAACATTGAGTACGCAAAGCTAAAGGACAGCACCCACGCCCAAAATTCAAGCCCTAGTACTGACACACAGAAAAATACCCCCCCCCCCAAAATCTCAATACCAGCAATTGAAAGCTTATTGGGGAAAGGCTATCAAGAAGGGGCACAAATAGAGGGAGGAAGGCTGAACAAATACAGACACTGTAGCCAAAATACATTATGTAAAGCCTGAACCACTAGCTTGAAAGTGAGGGTGGGAGGGGGAAATGGAGAAGAAGATGAAGGGATGACACTGATCCAGATGCACTGTACTCTACCACTACTCTACACAGCACCACTTCAGCTTTTTCTGTGATTTAAATTGAGATTCAGAGTCTCACAGACTTTGTTACCTGGGTTGGCTTTGAACCTTGACCCTCACATCTGTCTCCTGAGTAACTAAGATTACAGGTGTGAGCCATGGGGACCTGGCGCGTGAAGTGTTTTAGAAACTGTCTTTGCTTATGGGCCAACCAGCATGGCGGCTCTTTAATAGGGATCCTTTGCTTGAAAATCAGACTTTCAAGCAACTGAAAATTAAAAAATGTCTCTGTTTTTTTTTCAACAGATTTGGTGTCTTAAAGAGGAGATCCAGCCGGGTGCCGGTGGCTAACGCCTGTAATTCTAACTACCCAGGAGGCTGAGATCTGAGGATGGTGGTTCAAAGCCAGCCCAGGCAGGATCGTCCTTGAGACTCTTATCTCCAATAAATCACTAGAAAACCGGAAGTGGCGCTGTGGCTCAAGTGGTAGAGCACTCGCCTTGAGCTGAGGAGCTGCGCTCAGACAGTGTTCCAGCCCCATGAAGGACAAAAAAAAAAAAAAGAGGAGATCCTCCCATCAACCCTGTTCTCCTAGGACCAGGCCTGAGGGATGGCAACTTTGTTTCCTGAATTTCTATACTACAGAACTTTCTCACCTAAAGAGAAACAAGCAGAATTGTTCCTCAGAATTTCCCTAAGGAAACACAGTGGCAAATTCTGCAGACACAATTTAAGATCTGATAGGAGGTCTTCTCATCTTAGTAGAAGAGAATGTACTGTTTGCTTAAAAAAAAAAAAAAAAAAAAAGACCTGGTGGTCACTTGTAAGCAAAGACTCCATCAGAAACTAATCAGGCCTTGAAATTAAAAATCTTTAGGTAGGCCAGGCGCCAGTGGCTCACTCCTGTAATCGTAGCTACTCAGAAGGCTGAAATCGGAGGATTGAAGTTCAAAGCCTGCCAGGCAGGAAAGTCTATGAGACTCTTATCTCCAATAAACCACCAGAAAACCAGAAGTGGCACTGTGGCTCAAGTGGTAGGGCGCTGCCTTGAGCTGAAGAGCTGAGGGACAGTGCCCAAGCCTAGAGTTCAAGCCCCACGACTGACAAAACAAACAAACAAACAAAAAAAACCTTTATGTAGTACAACTATGTATGAAAATGGTATAAGGAGCCCTAAAGAAAGCTGTAGACCAATAAGAAACTGGGCAGAGATGGGGGAAGACAAAGCAAGAGAGAACAGGGTTATTCTGGGCAAAACATAATATATTAACATCCGAAATGCCACAGTGAAATCCGTCAGTGCAATTAATACATACTTTAAGAAAGAATGAATGACAGAAAAGTAAAGCTAACAGCAGGGCTAACAGAAAGGGTGAATGAGGATAAATGTGGTCTGACAAATATTTCCATGGATGAAAACAGACCTAAGAAAGCCTGTTGAAATTGTTTTAAAGAGGCTAAGTGGGATGCAGGAAAGTAATACAAAGGAGTATGTTTGATCAGAATACATGTACACATGTGTGGAAATGTTACAATGAACTCCCCTGGACAATTAATATATGCTCATTTTTTAATTAGATAAATAAAAAAGTAAACCTAGCCAGGCAACAATGGCTCACCCCTGTAATCCTAGCACTGGGGAGGCGGAGATCTGGGATCACAATTCAAAGCCAAGCCCAGGCAGGAAAGTCCAAGAGACTCTGATCTCCAATAACCTACTCAGAAAAAAGCTGGAAGTGGCAGTGGCACTGTGGCTCAAGCAGTAGAGCAAAAAGGAGCTCAGGGACAGCCCCAAGCCCAGAGTTCAAGCCCTAGGACTGGTGAAAAATAATAAATTAATGAATGACATCATTCTGACATTACTTTTCCTTTACAACATCTTCTGGCTCATTGTTTATTTAGCATGTATATACGTCTGCGGAGAAGATAACCTAACTATACCATCTCATATAGCTTCTGACTCCCTATCTTCCAAAGACTGCGATTACAAGCATCTTAAGTTTTCTTCTCATGGAATTTTGAACTTTGTTTGAAGTTTCTAAGAACGATTTTCCCCTTTTCAAAGTCTTCCTCAGGGAAATGGCCCTGGCTTCCCCTCACCCCAGGTACACACGTATTCCTTTCAGAGCAATGCCTAGGGCATTCTCCCACGGTGGACCAACTAGATCACAGCTCAAAACTCACCCAATGCACTCTGCATGGTTTTCCCCAGCAGAACCAAAACAGAAGTCAGAGGACAGAGTCAGAGGATGTGGAAAGAAGCTCAGACCACTAGGATGCAAGGAAACCCTGGTCTTTCTTCCTTTGCAGCTCCTTAGATAAGAAGTTAACCATCCAAGAGCTACTGAGTATTACATCTCTCTTTAAAAGCCAGGCACTGGTAGCTCACACACATAACCTTAGCTACTCAAGAGGGCAAGACCTGAGGATCAAGGTTCAAAGCCAGCCCAGGCAGAAAAGCAGATGAGACTCTTATTTCCCATTGACCACCAAAAAAGCCCAAAGTGGAGTTGTAGCTTAAGTGGCAGAGTGCCAGCCTTGAACAAAAAAAAGTCAAGCAAGAGTGTAAAGCCTTGAGTTCAAGCCCCAGTACTGGCACACTCGTGTGTGGGTACACACACAGCACAGAACTTCCTATTATTTATACATTCCTTCTGAAAGCCAATAGTGCAATAAAAGTGAAATATTAGCGGTGCCTATGTTGTAGTTTGAAAATAAAAACACATAAATTCTCCCACTACTGTGACCGAAACTGCTGGCTGCTTGATAATAATGCTAAATTAGCAATAAGAATATTTGATGGGGGGGCTGGGAAGGTAGCTCAGTGGTAGAGCGCATTCCTTGCATGCCAGAGGCCCTAGGTTCGATTCCTCAGCACCACATAAGCAAAAAGAAAAAAGCTGGAAGTGGCGATACAGCTCAAGTGCTAGTGCGCTAGCCTTGAGCTGAAGAGCTGAGGGACAGCGTCCAGGCCCAGAGTTCAGGCCCCACGACCGGACCCAAAAAAAAACAAAAAACAAAGAATATTTGATGGGGCAGGGAAGGTGGTTCAGTGGTAGAGCGCTTGCCTTGCATGTATGAGGCCCTGGGTTCGATTCCTCAGCACCACATAAGCAGAAAAAGCCAGAAGTGGTGCTGTGGCTCAAGTGGTAGAGTGCTAGCCTTGAGCTGAAGAGCTGAGGGATAGCCACAGGCCCAGAGTTTAGGCCCCACAACTCTCTCTCTCTCTCTCTCTCTCTCTCTCTCTCTCTCTCTCTCTCTCTCTCTCTCTCACACACACACACACACACACACACACACACACACACACACACACACACACACACACACACACACACACACACACACACACACACACACACACACACACACACACACACACAGAATATTTGATGTAGCCAGGTGCTAGTGGCTCACTCCTGTAATACTAGCTACTTAGGAGGCTTAGGTCTGAGGATTATGGTTCAAAGACAGCTGGGACAAGAAAGCCCATGAGGCTCTTATCTCCAATTAACTACCAGAAAACTGGAAGTGGCACTATGGCTTAAAGTGGTAGAGTACTAGCCTTGAGAGCAAAAGCTCAGGGTCAGCACCCTGCCCCTGAGTTCAAGCCCCATGACACACACACACACACACACACACACACACACACACACACACACACACAAAGTTAATGTTTATTTAACCATTTGTTCCAGACATTTTATATGTACCATAACCCTTAAACATAAATAAATGCCCTGTCATCTACCTTCTCTAGAAACAGGAAGGTTAAGTAATTTGTTGAAAACCACACAACAATTTACTAGTAAAATATTTTAGGCTCTAAGTTCATGTCCTTAAACGCTATAAGAAGAAACCTAATGAGCAACATATGCCTAATCTACACATTTAGCCACGTTTCAGTACAGAAATTTACTGTAGTGCTTTCTACAAATAAAGTAAATAGATAAACACAGTGAGGGACTGGGAAGGTGGTTCAGTGGTAGAGCGCTTGCCTTCCATGCATTAGGCCCTGAGTTCAATTCCTCAGCACCACATAAGCAGAAAAAAGCCAGAAGTGGTGCTGTGGCTCAAGTGGTAGAGCGCTAGTCTTGAGCTGAAGAGCTGAGGGACAGCGCCCAGGCCTAGAGTTCAGGCCCCATGACCAACCAAAAAAAAAAAAAAAAACAACAAAATACAGTGAGCCTCCTCCCTCAAAAGAAAAGGGGGGGGGGGGGGGCTGTGTTCATTTCTATTCCCAGCTCCTCTCTGCTTTTTCTCCTCTTTAAGGAAAAAAAGAAAAAGAAGGGAAAAACTAAGGAAAAAGAGAAACATGCTTTTGTCTACTGTTCCAGTTATTAAATGGTAAATATGTATAATAAATTAACCAACAGAACTGGTTTTACAGCAAAGGAGAAGCTTGAGGTTTCTAAATACTAACTCTGGGTATGTCACTCACTGGGAGAGGGACCCAAGGGTACTCACCTTAGCTGGAACTCAGTATTTATGGGGCTTTCTCACCACACTTTGAAATAAGAGCCACACATGGGAAACCCCAGCAATAACCGCTCGTAACAAATATCTAGGTTAAAAAGGAAAAAAGCTCAAATTCTAGGCATGGACTACTTGCAAGTGTTCAGAAATATTCAAATGAGAGAAGCTTAAAAAATTAATTGTCCAGGGGCTGGGAAGGTGGCTCAGTGGTAGAGCACTTGCCTTGCATGCTCGAGGCCCTGGGTTCGATTCCTCAGCACCACATAAGAAAAAAGCCGGAAGTGGCGTTGTGGCTCAAGTGGTAGAGCGCTAGCCTTGAGCTGAAGAGCTGAAGGACAGCACCCAGGCCCAGAGTTCAGGCCCCACGACCGGACCCAAAAAAAAAAAAAAAAAAATTAATTGTCCAGGGGCTGGGAAGATGGCTCAGTGGTAGAGCGCTTGCCTTGCATACATGAGGCCCTGGGTTCCATTCCTCAGCACCACATAAGCAAAAAAGAAAAAAGCCGGAAGTGGCACTGTGGATCAAGTGGTAGAGAGCTAGCCTTGAGCTGAAGAGCTGAGGGACAACGCCCAGGCCCAGAGTTCAGGCCCATAGCCAGACCCCCCCCAAAAAAAAAAAAACCAGAAAACCAGAAGTGGTACTGTGGCTCAAGTGGTAGAGCACTTGCCTTGAGCTGAAGAACTCAAGGACAGCGCTCAGGCCCAGAGTTCAAGCCCCACAATGACATAATTAATTGATTGATTGATTGATTGATTGATTGGATTGATTAATTTTAAAAAGTAGTGCTCTCTTTGCCCCACCAGCCCCTCCAATTCAACTGAAACAGGGCACATTAAGTTTTGGCTGAGCGCCTGGCCTTACAGCCGCCAACAAGGTGGACATCGGGAGGACTGAGATTCTGGAGGCTTGGGCA